TAGAAGGTCGGCAAGTGGGCAAGTGGGCAAGTGGTGAGTCAAGTGGTGGACTAACTGCAAAGCGATTGCAGTACGACTTCAGTAGGTTAGCAGTGAGTCCCTAGGCAGTTAGCGGTAAGGTTCAGTCAGTCCCAGTCCAGTCAGTCCCAGTCCAGTCCAGCAAGTACCACGAGGGACTATGAGCACCATGGGATATCCAGGGTGACCCGGTGTATGCGAACAGTGAGTTGTTTGGGCGCCGAGTCGCCATAGTCATTGAAAGTGAACTCGTATCTGGGTTTCCATATATATGAGTTTTGAGTGGGCGCATGTCGCCAGTTTGCTGCGCTACTGTTTGCATGCATGAAAACTGTGAATGAAAGCGAGTCTGATTGCAATTCGGTACGTAAAACCCCTCCCCCCCCCACCCCCACACCCAAGTTTTAATTTTTTTTTTTTTTATGCTCAGAATGAGGTGGAAATTTTTTTGTGGGGTCTTCCCACATAGCCCAGCGACGTTTTTTTTTTTTTTTCCTCGTATTATTTAATTGAAAAATCCAGTTGTCCGGGATCCCGGACAACTCCGGTCCCGGACATCGGACGGAGTTGTCCGCCGGAGTCGTCCGCCGGTCGGACACCTGGTAACCTAGTTTTTATTTTTATTTTTATTTTTATTTCTCTCTCCTTTACGATTTTTCTAGATTCTTATTTTTTTATTTCTTTGGTTTATTTCTTTTCCTCCGTTCTCGTATGAAAACTTATCGAATTTATCGCTAGAACCGGGGCAGATTCATTCCCCTGGATTTCTCGATATCCCGCTCCATATTCGATCTTCGACAGTATATCGGGAAGAGGGACGAGGGGCTCGTCTCGAGGGCGAATGACTACGGGGAAGTTCGTATGGTGCATGGGAGGAAAACTCCGTCGGGAAGAAGAGCAGACACCGCGCATGGAAGGGAGAGGAGCACCGCGGCGTGGTTAAAACGAACGTGTGGGGAGAAGAAGTAGACGGAGAAGAAGAAGAAGAAGAAGAAGGAGAAGAAGAAGAAGAAGAAGAAGAAGAAGAAGAAGAAGAAGAAGAAGAAGAGGACGACGAAGAAGAAGAAGAAGAAGAAGAAGAAGAAGAAGAAGAAGAAGAAGAAGAAGAAGAAGAAAAGGAGGAAGAGAGAGGAGTATCGCGAGAGAAATGAGATGTATGTGGTGGAGGAAGAATGGGTGCATCGAAGAGAAAGGAGCGTTCGTAGACAGACAACCGCGAGAAAGAAGGTGAGCGCGTGGTAGGGAAGATGCGCATGGACGAAAGACGTGCAGATGGAGCGAGGTAGCGACGCGCGGGAAAGGTGGTAAGAGAAATAGGGGAAGAAGTAGTGGTAGGAG